TTAATGCACTCAAAACAAATTTTACTTGATTGAGAGTTTCAAATTATGTTAAAATACACCTTCAAGTCATATTATAACAACTATGATTTGAATTTAATAGAGTATTAGAATCACAAATTTGTATAAATGAATATCAATGAATAACAATTCTAGCATTTTTTGAAATAAAGTTTTGTATTCAACTCCCTTGATATATTATATAAAACATGTACAATTATTAAAATCTGATTTTTGATGACGTTGAGAAAACTTGAAATCTTAATTGATGAATTTAAATTTAATTGAATTTTTTTATATAAGTGCAATTAAAATTTTGTATTTTGATTTTTAAAATTTTTTTATATCATGTCTGCATAATATGGATATGTTATAAATTTTATTTTGAGTCAAATTGAAATTAATTCAATTTTTTTAAGATCAAAATTAAATATTATTTAATTTTTTGATCAAAATTTAGATCAATACTACTTTTAAGAATAATATTTGAGATCTTATGGAGTTTAATAATAAATTCAAAAAATAATAAAGGACTAATATCGTATTTTAAATAGCAATATACAATGGAGCATTCTAATATGTATGAGTAAGAATGTAAAGAGGTTATACATAACATGAAGTATTTACTTGATGGTATCCCATTGGAACCTAAATTGCTTACTAAGATTCTTTAAATTTCGTTTTATCCGATAGGGACCCACTAAGAATACATGTCACACATGTTCTAGTATCAACAGACGGTGCAAACAGTGAAACTGTGTCCTCGTCCTCCATCATTGAATCGCTCAAATCTCCACTCAGTGCAATCAGACTGGAAACTTCTTCATTCGAGACTTCCCCATTGCACCAAAATCTGTAAAATTACCTAAAACTCGAATTCACAAGTCCTCCGCTTCTTTCCCTATGAATTTACTCCATAGATTCCAAACGTCCACTATTGCTCATCAAATTTTTGACAACTCAAGACCCAAAACCTCTCCGCTTCACTCCCTGTGAATTTTCTTCACAAATTTCACACATTTGCTTTGGTTTACTAAGTTGAATTTTTGACAGCTCAAAACACAAAACCTCTATGCACTTGTGACAATGTCTGTCACATTTCATCGTTTTGCGATTGCAGAGGTCCATTGAAACTTGCATCATATGTATACAAGAACACATTTTAGAATTTTGCAACGGTGTGAAGTTACATTAGATAAAACAAAACTTGATGAGTTCTATCAAGCAATTTAGTTCCGACGGGTGCCATCAAGTAAATACCTCTACATAACATGTAGCATTTTGATTAGTGAAATGATAGTAGTATTGATATTGAATGATGTTTCTTTTAAATCAATGATAAATGCTAGATTATCACATTTTTGAACAAATAAATTGGTTCATAATTCACTTTCAAAACTTAAATCTTTTAATTATAAAACAAGAATGTTTTGATTATAGTACTTTCAATATCATGATCAAATCAAATTATCAAATTTATTTCAAAATTTCAAAAAAAAGATCAACAATGAATATAATGCTTGTGTTTAACTATGTTCTTTGCTTGTATTGATTTGAATGTCATAAAAAATTCAACATAAATATAGTGTATATGAAGATTAAAAATAAAACTTACTAATGTTTACATAAGAATGATATGCATAACATAAATGATGTTAAAATATTAATCATATTTGTTTATCATAAATGAAAATTGCAATGACAATTAAATGGAGTTGAAAAAAATACTTCAATCGGAAGAGTATAAAAGATGAGAGGTTTGATACTCTAAAATAGCTAATTTATTTCTTAGAAAATTTAGAATTATTCACAATGATTTTTGTTGGATATTATGATACAAACATTTATAGTCCATGATAATGTGTGCATCATAAAAAAATTATTTTGAAATACTTTTCATGTTAGATGAACATGAAAGAATTATATTACTATTCATGTAGTCTTTAAGTTTTTTAAAAAGTAGAGCATAATTTAATGTTATATTTTATGATAATATTATAGATGTGATACAAAATAGACTTCACACCCTCATAACTACCTCAATTTTGTAGATTTGATTTTTGTAACAAATCAATTTATTATTTTTAATAACTTATCTCACTAAGTTATGTTAAAATTTTTGTTTGCAAAACAAAACAAGCAACTTTAACTGTGTGCAATCTTCAAATTCATTGTCAAAAAATTATATTATAAAAAATTTAAGAACTACAAACATATATCTTAAAAAAATTAATGTTTCATGTTTTTTACAAATTTGAAATTTTGTCTTCAAAATTTTGCATTCACTATACTAATATTTAGTCTTCATTTTTACATTGATGAATGATATTTATGGAAATTGATGAAATTTTTATAAATATGGGTATACTAATAATATTAAAAATAAAAATTCTATTTTGAAAACAGTGATTTTAAAAAATTTAAATTTATATTAGATTATTATAAATTTATCCTTCAAGATAAATCAAACATTAAATCCTTTATCTAATTTTTAGTGTGAAAAAAATCAAAAAAATTGGTTATAACTTGAAATTTGCATTACATATAAAATACATCCTCATATTTATTTTGTTAAAATTCTAGTTGTGTTATCAAATAATTCAATTTTTGATTTCATTATTAAGTTTTTGTACTTTTTCCATATTGTGAATATGCACCTTGAGTTGATCCTAAATCTTTATTAGTCAAATGTTAGTATAATACAACATGTATTTTCATAAGTCATTGCTCTTTTTTCTGATATGGAAATTATATATTTGTATGTAGAAGAGAAGTCATGTTTGTTTTTGAAAGAGATTATGAATATCTATCGCATGATTCTAAACATCACATTTACAATGAGGTTCGATACCTCACTTGGAAAATATTTAGCATGTCTTTATTTTTAACTATTAAAAAAGTCTTTATAATCAATAGTACGCATGATAAGGTTTCATATTTTTTCATTTTCCAACTTCCTTAATATGCATATGCACAGTTTTCAGATTTGATCTTATATAGAGATTTTAATTATTTAAATTTTTAGATTTAATTTTTCATAAATACTTCTTATACATCAAATTTAGTTTTGTGAGATATTTTATGAAATCATTTCGTATTTGATGACATGGTTTTCATATTTCAAAAAATATTATAAATTCACTTCACACATCATTGTTATAAAGAGATCACTTACTAATGTTAGATATATTAGAGTAACTTAGGTTATGCTTATTAGCTGATTGTACACCATTTGACCTAAAGATATAAAATATCTTAGATAGAATAGGATATATTTTCTAGAGTGATCTCCTTGATTCCTAGACCAATGTTACCAGTTCGGTACGGCATCAGGGGTAACTGCCATCTCTTTTTGGCAAGATACTTGGACCCCAAGTTTTATATAATAAGTGTAGATACTTTGCAGTTGATGACATGGGCTAAGTGACGACGGAGGGCATGTTCCTTGCGTCCTGCGTTCAAAGTGTTCTATTTAAGCAAATATTCCGTCTCCGCAACGACTTCAAACTTGGAACACGGACTCGGAAAAATCTGAACAGAAGTGACGTTGGAATGAATGAGTTTGCACGATGGGGAATCCTCAATGATTTAGGCATCTGCAGTACCATGCGATACTCAGACAGAAAGAACAATAAGGCATGGGTCTACGTCACTGATCCCAGTTAAATAGTTCACGACGCCAGTGATACTTTACGCTTTTCCTTCATAAATATACCTCATCCTAGATATATGATTCGCGCTGTTTAGTAAGCAAGCACTCAACAAACTTCATTGTATTTTACGTACGCACGCTCGATTTGGAGCTACATAAGACACAGGTTAGCTGATATATTAAGGAGATTTTTCTGTGTTGTTTTCAAAGGTTGGTCAACAACAAACTAACAAGAACCTGATACGACACATTTTGTAATATAGTTTATTGTTTTATATGCAGTTTTAGTTCCTTGTTTGATTTTATGGATCTTTCCATAGCTTAATATATCCATGTGACCTCAGCTTATATGCTATCATTTGATAAATTATATTTGTCCTTGAAAATAGAATCAACTGTACGTCTTATTTTCCATCATTCATAGAAGCTGATGTGAGTATGACTTCCGATATAGATGTCAACAGCAATTATATTCGTAAGAAAGTATCTCAATTAGTCGGCATAATCGTTGTTGAACTTCAGAAAACTTAAGAGTAACTATCTCATACGATTTCGGTTTTGAATGCTTACTTTGTGATTGATAAGCACTCATTTCAATCTGGAAATTTATTTGATTAGGAAGGATATAACCTTTAGCATTCTTTTATTTTACATATCATGGTGTGATCAGTTTTTTGTTATGTGCTTTTATAAATCTATGTGGATTTGGATCTGGCAAAACGCACATCCTCCAAGAATTTGATTTTTTTTTCTTAATTTTTTGCTTGGATATATGTTTGAATACATACTTCCATTCTTATGATTTCCAATATTCAGTTTGTGAAACTTAGAATTGAGAGATAGTATTAATTTGTGACTGAATTTCCAATTTTTAATAAATGAAAATCTATTTTTTTTAATTAGAATATGACATCAAATCATGACACAAAACTGTAGGAATGTATCGTCCTACAGTTTTTTGTACCTGACCCATTATAATTTGCATGCCCGAGAGGGGAGACATAATCAAACCTTTGTTTTGTCGGAGAGTTTTTTTGGTTTTGTGAATGGGTTGTTCCTTTTATGCATTTTTTACTCTCACCCGTTTCATCACCTTGCTTGGCGGGAGTCGGATCCGAACCCACAACATTTGGATTATGAGCCTGACGAGTTACAAATTACCCCGCGAACAGCCATTGTAAAAAAAAGAACGTTTTACATTTTTATATTCGAACGCAAAAAGTCTGTAAAATTACAGCTGATCATTTTCATTTAGTATTAAAAAATTTCTCTCATGATTCACCAGTGCTCAACTATTTATTAAAAAACTCAAAATATAGTGGACGAATGCCATAAAAATACATGAACATCGATGGATTTCCAAAATCTACGGCAGAAAAAACAAGCACTGAATCTCAAAAGAAATGATGAGGAGAAACAGAGCGAGCATAAATGTATATTCTGTAGTGCAAGGCCAAGCTTTCTTTCCCACCCATCGAGTTTCGAGTCTATCCAGAAATTTTCCAAGAGCCAGTGGATCATACCAAGACCGAAACTTGAACTGATCTACAAGGCACTTTTTTGTACAGATTGAACTTTTTCGGTCCCAGCATTCAGGCACCTAAAGAAAAACCCATCGCCGTTACCATACCCACACTCATCACCTCACCTCACCCGAAAGAGCAATTGAAAATCTCAGCTCAGAGAAAAACTCTACCCTTATATGTTCTCCAAAGCCTTGAGAGGAAATGGTTCAATTTCCAAATCGGTGGCCTAATATTCCGTCTCGTGCTTCCAGAACCGAGGCCGTTTACATCGAATGCATCACGTCCTCCATGCCCGACCCATGTGCATGCTTTGTCACCGTGCGCCTGGAGTTTGAGGCCACCAGGGTACGGGCTACATGAGACGCTGAAGCCCATCACATGTGCCCACCACCGGCGGACAGATGGTAGCCGCGAGATGGCAGCATGTCAACAGCGGTCGTCGTTGACGGCAGGGGACGGCGGGCGCTCGCCACGTGGCGGGACGCGGGCAGACGGGACACGTGAAGCAGCAGCTTTAGAAACGCCTCGCTTTTCCGGCCATTGGCTGGGAAGACCGGGGCCCGAATCGGTCAATCCGCAAACCCAGTGTGCAATGCGCAAAACATCTGTGAGATAAAATCCGCTGCCCGGCGCCCGACACCTGGACCCGCAGCCGGGGCGGCCGTTCCCAGCCTCCCGTTCGGTCCGAGGCAATCACGTGAAGGGCAATCTTCGCCCCGCCGGGCATTCCCCGAAATTATTCTCCGCAGCCCCTCGCTTTTAGGGTTTCGCCCTCCGTGGACTTTCGGCCCCCGCTCGAGCGCTCGAGCTCTGAGCTCGTTTCCATGGCCGTCGCCAGCCCTCGCCCTCCTCGACCGAAAAGCAAATCATTGAATCAATTATGTTCCGAATCTTTACAACAACAAGGGAACACAGGACGCGACATCTGTGAATGCTGTAGCCTCGCGCTAGGACTTGTCAGAGGAGTTTGAGGTTACCGTCTGTGTCAGCGCCGAACGAGCTCCTCGACACTCAAAGGTCGCAGCACCAGCATCCGAAGAGGAAGAAGAAGTAAACCATCTCGCAGAGAGCTTTTGAGTCGAGTGCGGCAAGCATTCATGTAGTACTTTTCCAGCTGTATCGATCTGGATAGAATCGATGGATACAACGAACGAGAACTCCAGACTACAGGACTCCCACTTAGAAAAACACGTCCGCGCGCAGTAAGGTGTCGAATTTTCAGCTGGAGCTCGTTTGAGTTCTTGGCATATCATTCGACTGAGTTGACACTTGGAATTTGGCCGTAGGTTCGGATGACTACAGCAGTTATCCTGAATCCCAATCGAGTCTTCGGGTCTGCTTTGATCGTGGATGAGCCTCTGAATGGATCAAAGTTGTGGATAAGAATTTGCGAATGTTCAACAGATAGGATTAATTGCAACCTCCAGGTGTCATCTTGCACACCCGATCTCAACAAGGTGGATGAACTATCCCTTTCCCCAAGTTCCAAGATTCTCGAACATGAGTCCCTTTGCGAACGGGTCCGAATTTCATGCACCTCGAATCCAGACAAAGCCGACCCAATATACAATTATTTTTTGTTTTCTCTGAAATATGAGATATAAATACAATGCCACCTTCGAAGCTCCAATTGTTCTTCGTCTAACTTGCTTCTATCGTACCCATTCAATCAATATGATAACATTGTAAGTTTATGTAAATTTCTCACATTGCAACATGTCGAAGGGAATTTCCTAGACAATATTATAATGCGTACTTAGACCCGAAATACATTTATGCTTAGATGTTCAATGCGTCAATATTTGTATTACTCAATATTGATTTATCAGTTTTTTTATTTCTAATGTTTGTGATCAAGTAAACATGATGCAAAAGTTCATTAAATTTAGTATCATAAGTGATTCTCATAAAACTCACATAATATATGTTAGTTTTCAAATACACTCTTTTGTATACCATTTGACATGTTTACATATGTACACAATATTCCGGTATTTTCTTTTGTAAAAAGTACAACAGAATCTGTTTTCGACTTAAGATTTTCATATCAACGATAGACTGAGATATCTGACTAGTTTGTTGATATACATGAAGTAGTATCTTAACTATATGATGTAGTTGGTATGTGCAAATGGAAGAACTCCGACTATAGCAATTTCAAATTGATAAAATTTCTCAGGAGTCATAAACCGTTTGAATCTTTCCTATTCAAAACAGTTTTCACTTTTATAATCATATTTTAATATGCTCATGATATTTCTCCTTTTTATCTATTTTTAAAAATATTTATATCAAACAATTTTTTCTTGTAATTTTAGAACGCATGAAACAACATTCTTTATATTACGCAATCTTTACTTGACTATAGTAATGCATTACAGGGATTACAGAGAGAATCGTTTACGAATCTGGAACATGTTTTTAGCATCACAGACTTGCATCCAGTTTAGTCAAGTGTTGATCATAAATTTGATGAATTGGACAAATTTTGTTTCGATGAAAGGACATATTCCATGGTCCAAAGGTTAAAGGCGCAAGGAATTTTCATCAAGTGAACTAGATCTTCATGATGTTTTGAACGAAAAGTAGGATGTCAATTTCTTGAGTAGTTCCGATTTTCAATTGACTAAAATGAGGTGGTGTTTTCCTATTGTACCGACACAATTCAGACTTGATGATGATGTACGTTAAGTATGTGCAGATTTCTGAACCCTTGAACAGCTTGGGGATGACATGTTGCCACAGACATCTTACTGCAGCAACGACAGACATATCGCTTGAGAATTGCCAAAAATACTTGATGTTATCCAGTACAGTGAACGAGATGTTCGAGTGCTAGTGGTGTTGATGCTCTATCTGAAATGATGGCTGCACGTTCGGTCGATGGGTGAGCCGTGGCGGACGGCTGGACGGGTTTCCTTTCTGGGCATTCCTTTCCCACTTCTTTACGCTTTTCTGCACTGCACCATCATCTCTGTGTACTGCGTAAGTGCCTTTATGTTCCGACACTTGAATATTCCGTGACAAGGTTTGGTTCGCATGCAAACGAGAGGAGTACCGAGATTCCAATCGTTTCTCGATCGCCCATTTCGGCACCGCTCTCTCTGCCATCATTTCCGTCCACCCTTTCCTCCCAACATTACGACACAATTTGCAAACCCTTTTTCGGAGGCCTGTCCCGAAAGTCGCGAACTCGATGCTTGCGTGCGATCTCCAAGCAAGAGAGCGTCTTCAATCCGAGCCATTGTGAGACGGCTACCCGTAGCGGCTAGCCTGCGCCATGTGAGACGGAGGAGGCTCGAGATTGAAGATTCCGGACCGGATACACGACTTGAAAAGCGGCGTCAGGATCTGCTCGAGCTCGAGAAAAAGCACCCCAAAAGTTGTCCTCGTACGATCAAATCGACCTCGCAAAAGAGAAAAGATAGAGCAGCTGCTGCCGAGCTCGAGACCTCTCTCCCCCCGCTGAGCCTCGAGCTCTCTCTCTCAACTTGGCCTCGCATCATTTCTCTGGGTGCGCGGACTTTGCTCCGTCAGCTCCCTCCCTCCCTCTCGTCTAAAGAGAAAGAACGGCTCGTGGTCTCATGCAGAGTGCGAGACCGCCCGATTTAGGCGCCCCGCCCGTTGTCATGGGCCTTCGTACTCTTCGCCCTTCCGCCACAGCGGCTCCCCTTGTCGCTTTCCGCAGATACTGACAACTCCGTCCCGTGCTTCAACGTTTCGAACTTCGGCCGATGGCCCGCATTAGCCGCAGCGCAAATCTAGGCAATTGTTCTCCTATCGTGATGCCTCTCGCTAGTGGAACGCGGACGCTCGGAATGGATGGATGGACGGATGGAGGATAGATCGATGGTGGCAACTCGGGGATCCGAGCTCGACCGTTCTGGACGACGGCATGGCAACGGAGTTTCTGCTTAGATTGGATGGATGGACGCAGTTCGTGGTCAGCGTCATGTTTGACTCGGAGATTTGGATTCCGTTGTATGGGATGCTATAAGGGGTACGTACGGTCGTTGAGAGTTGTACAGCTTCCAACTTGCTCCTAACTCGGCAGTCAAGGTATCGAAGGCATGATAACCTATAAATAAATAATTCGTTAGTGATGTTGTGGGAAAAGGGTCATTCTTATAGCTTGAAGAGAATTTCGAAATTTTTCGGAAGCTAGAAATGAAGGTTCATTTATCAATATATTTGAGATACATCTCTATGCTCTCTGTGCCGGTTTTAAGTGTTGATGGAAAATGGCCTCTTGCTCAAATGGTCGATCTTTCCAGTCAGAGCCCGTCTTCTTTCGATTCCCTTTCTCCTCTTCTAGAAATGACATTTGACTTCACACAACCTAAATAAGCGTCGGCTTGTAAAATGTGAAGATATGGTATCTTGTCATGTTGGACCTTCTAGCATGTCACTTAAGTCTTTCAGTGAGTCCAAAAAAGGGGAATTCTAAGTTTTTTTTGACTTTTTGGTGATAGTTGAATAAATATTTGTACAACATAAAAACATTTATTTTTTGTAAGTTGCGGCATTCCGAACATTTCAACTCCTAATACTACAGTAGTCTGGGTAGAAATTCGAGCAGCCGAAGGGGATGAAGGAGTTGAGGTATGAAGCAGTTACCGGAAGTCAACAGTGGTCGTCCGCAGAAAATCTAGATGGATCGATATTATCCATCCTTCCATTTTGACTTCCACGTCCTGAATGCTCTTTTTTTCCAGCTGAGAATGATTTTCCATGACAATCGGAACACAGGGAACTAACTTCGACCACTCTGTTTGTAATTTGAGGTTGTGGCCTTCTTTCTCAGTACTGTAGTTAATTTGGAAATTGTGACAAATATGAAGAAAAAAGTTCACGCACATGTGGGAGGTCATTACGAGGTGGACTTTCTTTGACCCCCTTTGAGATCATTGCGTCCTGAAGGAAGATGCCGCAGATCAGAAGGTTTCTGTACCTTCAGATCCCCAGGGTCTTGCCTTGACTTTTGCACGCACGGAACAAAACGAATATCTTCAACCCGCTTGACGGCAAACTCGGAAATCTTTGTACGAGGCTGGAAACAAAAGTGGCCAAATTCAGGCCATTTCGTAGATGCAGAACATTCGACTTCGGTTCGATGTCCATCAAATTGTGCATGACGTATAATGAGGTCTGACATTACCCCAACTATACTGGGTTGACCACGAAATACTGAACCTCAAACAAGTTGGATCAATTTAGTCCATAACGAGATCTAATTTTGAAACTGAACATGATCAATAAATGATTTGCTTCCACGACAAAGAAGGCGACTCAGAGCAGAGCCCCTCACTCTGAATTCCTCACATCACACCAGCTCTGTCTGCTCTGGACGGCGACTGAGATCCCAGACTTGGCAGTGCAAATTGCAAAGTATGAGATCTCTCACTTGGCGAGAGACCCACTGAATGCAACGTCATGTACATGCCTGCAGATTGATTGCCTAGATTCGGCTTGTTGTACGTGAACATAGGTCCCGAGGTTTCGCAGCTGCTGCTGCTAAGACTTTCTGCTACCTTCCTGCCTTGTTCGTCTAGTCAACACGGGAATGATGATCATTCCCGTCTTCAACCAGATGCATTTCCAGGTACAAAAATACTTTGGCGTTGTGGGCTGCTTGGAATTAAAGCCGGTCTCTGTCGACAAAGCCTGCCTGGATTGAATCTTCGAAGAATGCCGACCGGATTCAACTGGAAGCATAGCCACCAGATGCACCTGGTCGAGTACCGGAGGGAACACACTTCTCCATTAGTAGTGCCAGTCTCAAGTAGAGCAAATCTCCTTCTGAGCTTGACACTGATTGAAGCAAGCGAGGGACTTCCCAAGTGGCCGTTTGTTTGGTACCTTGTGGTCAAAGCTCTAGCGAGCGAGGGAGGGAGGGAGGGAGGGCTGGTGGCTGGGGGCTGGTGGCTGCCTTGGACACTGAGGAGGAGATCCTCCAAAGTTCGATCAAAACAAACGTGCACTGCTGACAGAGGGATGGAGATATGTCGGATGCCTCGTATGGCCTGTACGTCGGGGTCGAAATGAGGCTTCGCTTTTGGTTTGGACGGAGAGGGTTTATGGGGTTGGTGGGTGCCCGTCGCTGAGTGGATCGATGGAGACATCGTTCGCCCTCATGCGTCTCTCGTACGTAAACAGGCGAGGACGATGTCGCTGCGAACTCGTTTTTCAATGAATCCATGATGAGGGCGGGCAGGAGAGGATGATGATCGTGATCATGGAGGCTCAGGGTGCTGCATGCAAGTGTCAACTTCGTCCCAACTTGCAAGACACTTGTCCAGCTCCCCATCCCTCTCGATGCGGATATTCACTCCCGTCTCCCTTTCTCTGACAGACCCTCCACATGTCGTCGTTCCGATGCCTCGATTCCCAACTTGCCCCTTCGCAAGTCTGTTCATGAAAGGTCTGCGAGACGGACCCCCATCGTTCCTTATCCCGTTCCTTATCTTCTTCTTTGTGACCTCCTCCTCTTTGTGCCGCCTACCTTCCAGTATCTGGAACCTTCGTTCCAGTACCTCCCCGACATAATAAAATATTTTGTGCTCAGAGAGAGAGAGAGGGTGCTGGTGAACGATCGATTTGTGGGGATTGGATCTCCCGCTATGCCCTCCATTTCACTTTACCCTCCTTTGGTACTCACTGCACTGACGAATGATTAGTTTTCTCAAGGGGCTGCTGCTTCAAAAGTAGCATGGTGCAAAACTCGTGCGTTTCTAAGTGCAATTGCAGAGGTTGCGAGACTCCACGCATGCATTCGTCTGCACTGGGCTCCTATGTTGCATGATGGCCAACTCATGGTTCATACTTTACGTCGATGCTGTACGCGAATGAACCGACAAGTGAATGGAAATATGAACCCCATCGTGGAACAAGAACATTATAACAACAACTACATTTCAAGGTCCTCGAAGTTCTTCCAGTGACTTTCCTACACGTACCAATACACAATCATCCATATGCTACCAATCGCATACTATGGACTGTTGCAAATCCACTATTCTTAAAATGAACAGCCACATCCACACGGAACATCGCCAACAGCAGCAAGAGAACGCTATAAATTATTAATAACATGGACACCTAACAGAACCTGTATTACGGTTTGCTCGTGTATCTGTTGTGGGATAACCGGCTGGCTTTTGGAGTCAAAGTTTCCGCTCAAAGGTATGGAGCTCCGTCATGAATCGGGGGACGTTCGTCACAAGATGGATGTTGTTTTAGACTGCTGCTCAGATAAGAAGCTAAAGATGTAAGAAACATATGGATGGAACGATGGAAGAGGATGGAAGAAGCTAAAGTACTTTTGATCTTATCCAAATTGCAGAACTGAAGCTGAACTAAGAGGGGCACGAGGGAAAACGCTCACACACGGGGATGATCATCTCATGCGAACACTTTCAGAACTCAAGGATAGAAACGGACAAGTGACGAATAGATCTTACGAAAGGATGGAAGAAGTCAATGGAGAATCCAAGACACGCTATTCAATCCATGACGAGCTGAGCTTAGATCTCAACAAAACATAATAATTTTTCCTGCTCTGCGTAACGGCAGCACCCCTTCCCCTCCTGGGAACAACTTGCTCCTTGATTGGTTTGGGTCTCCATGGCTCATCTTCTCCCTGTGACATAAGATTGGCAAGACGAGGGTCGAAGTTGGCTACAATATGCACCGTCCGTCCATCCATCCGACCAAAAGGCGAGAATGCACACCACTCCTTATTGGAAGTCATGTACTTAGATGACGATTTCGGAGTGGGTTTCTGACCTTTGGGCCCTTTGGGCTTTGACGAACTCGAGAGCACGAGGTGAGTCTGTGGAGGAACTCATGTTCGACATTTCATTTGAGCAGAAAAAGCAGCAGCGAAGGGAGGCCCTTTAAATCCACGAAGGTGGGCCAAATCGTGGGGGGGTCTACCTTTATTCGGTGAGATATTTCATTCTCACGATCACAACCAAACTGTTTTGGTTGTTGGTACCCGAACTGCCAAACTGCAGAACTCGACCAGGTTGCGAAATCGAGCGAAAAAATCTTCGAAAAATTTGGCCGCGATCCAGGGACCTACGGAGGAAAAATACAACAAGATCCACAAAGGGAAAAGATATCTATCTCTAAAGCTCTCTCTCATCTCAATGAAATTCGAGGATCGAGCGCGGGCACTCGAATCCAATTAAGTCGGCGACAAGAGGAAGATTTCGCGTGCGCAGCATCATCGACAGGACAGACGAACAAAAGCTCAAATCTCTCCCCCGCCTCGCTCGCCCGTTTCTTCCTCCCCCCGTGGAGCCTACCTGTGAGGCTGTGAAGCCTTGTACCCAAATGCTGTGGAACCCACCGCTCTGACCCCCGCCTCGCCTCCCTCCCTCCCTCCCGCTGCCCGCGTACTTTTCGAATCCGGCCCGACGCTGCAAGCTGCGGAGGACCGTCCGTTGCCTCGAAGCCCGCTGGGCAAATTTCGCCTGCGGTCTGCGCCAGATGCTTCCGAAGGCCGCCCGAAATGCCTTCCCTTACCAGGACTGTACACTCAGCATCCGAGTGGCAGTCCCGGAGTCCCAGTCCCGCCGGGAGCTTTGGCGACAGCCAGTCGGGCTCGAAAGGAAACCGCGTGAGACAAATACGAAGCGGACGGCAGGAGCGGAAAGGCCCCCGGACTGCAGCCCGCCGGAGCCGCGGCTAAATACAGCAAGGACTTCTGGGCGGTTTGTGGAAAGGGGTGCCGTCGGAGCTCCGCCCACGTGGTGCGCCAATGGGTGTCACCGTGTCATATGCTAAGCATCGTTCGTGCTAAGGGCGGGCATGGGCTCTCCATCTCGGCGTGGGCGACCTACCCCGCAGGAATCGGCCATCTCGCAATCCACGGCTCTCATTCTCCCATCCGGCGGACGGGTATCCCTGTCGGTCGGACGGACGACGTCGCTAAAGCGAGATCTCACGGGGACCGGTCCAACGCCTCTCGCCAGTCCGGCCGTGTCAGAGTCGCGGTCCCGGTCGCGGTCCCGGTCGGTTCCTCGTCAGGCGCATGACGAAGGGAAGGGAGCGGAGGGCCAGCGCCGGTGACGGGGGAAGGTACGGAGGACAAACGCCGTCCGTGTGAGCCTTGGTAGCTGTGCGTGCTCCGCTCTGCCCGACCCTGCGCTGCCCTGCCCTGCCCGGGACTCCCGGGCTCAACGTGGGGCTGGCATCGATCCGCTTCGCTTGGTGGCTTTGGACTGTACCGGCCGCTGATGCATTGATGAGATGGGGACCGAAGCGAGTCTTCGGAACGGGTCTAGATCTCTCCGGCGGGCGGGCGGGCGGGCGGGCGGGCTGGCTGGGCGCGGGTGAAAGGGGCGAGAGGAGGGTTCGAGAGGGCGCAAACTCCTGGCGCTCGGACGCAGCGGTGGTCGATTCTGAGCATCGAGCGGTTCGGCGATGCCGATGAGTGCCCTGCGAGCAGCAGCTCCACAAGTTGCTCGCCTGTCCTTTCTCTCGTCCGCTCGCGACCTTTTCTTCCCTTACGAGGCTCCGAGTCTCTGAGAGCCGATCTCTCTCTCGCTCTTCTTCCTCTCTCTCCCTCTCTCTCTCTCCTTCCTTCCTTGCAGTAGGCGAGATTTGGAGTGGCAGGCCCGTAGAGTGTAGGAGTGTAGGGTGCGTCGAGTACGACGAGCGACGAGAGTAGAGGTGTAGGCTGCGAGTCAGTGCTACGGGATCTACTCGTCATCAAATACAGCGGGCAGTGGTGGCCAAGCTGAAGGTGGCCGGGGGGGAGTTTCATCTTGCATCTTTGAGTGCATGCGCAATCCGCTCGTCGCCCACGGAACGGAGAGTGATAGATAGATAGATATATTAGAATCTTCCCGTCGTTTGCACAGCGGAGGTATCTGTTCTTGTTCTCCCTGCAGCCAACACTGCCTTCGCACTCGGTACTACATATAGTGACTGGGGTTGGTGAGAGCGGTGTGTCCTCGTAGGACGGCAGGTCTCTTCTCTTCTCTTCCCCTCCCCTCCCTTCACTCAGACCCTTCTCTCGATCTCCTTCTCATCAACGAGGCGCTCGACGCATGCTGGAGGTGCTCTCGTCGCCCTTCTTCTCGGCTGGACTTTATGAGATCGGGCATGCATTCTCCTCTTTCTCTCGGCGGAGTCGTTACATTTCGCGGATCGTAGCGACTCCAGCCCAATTTCTGCACGCCTCGATCATTTGGAGTTTTGTATAAGGTGGATACTGGACGGTTCAAGGACGGAGTATAGATGAAGTGCGTCTGAGGTTGTCAGCGACCTTTGTTCAGCTTGAGTATTTTCCTCGCCTTCTACGATAGAATCAGCTACGAGCGCTTGCGGTAGTGAGACTTGCGAAGTGTGCACATGGCGAGTCTGCAGATTGCTTCGAGAGCAGCGGGTTCACTGCTGCCCATATTTCAGTCGTCTCTGACGCCCATCGGCTGCAGTCTGAGAGTGAGCCACACATTTGCTGCGCAAAGGGAGGATGGGAACTCGTCCGTGGAACCTGCGCTATCTCTCTCCATGCAGCAAGGAAATAGTTGGGCCAAATTTCCAGGGATCAACCGGCTGCAGGACAAGGGCAGATGTAGGGCCAGTCTCTTAAAAGCCGAGGCTCCACTGGAGACGCTTTCTACAAATGGACTCACTGCAGCAGGAGCGGACGGCATGGCATCTGCCATGCAAGGATCATTTGAGACAGACGCCTCCGTAGGCCGCGTAGAATGTAATAGTAGAGGGTGTCGGCCGATCTACGACGACAACAACAGGACCCTCGTTGTGGGGCGAGATGACGAAGAAGAATTCAGCTCGCTTGAGACACGCGCTGCTGTGTATGCGGCCAGGAGCCTCACCAAGGACATGGAGATCCGGCCCACTGTTAGCTTCCCCTTAGATTTTGCGGAGTTTTTGAACGAAGTGTGGATGGAGAAAACCACCGCAACCAAGTACTTCGAGATTGCGCTGAAGAAGAGTCCGAACGATGGAAAAATTTTGCTTCAATATGCGCAGTTTGCATGGAAGGTCCTCGGTGATCTCGACAAGGCTGATGAACTTTTCGCCCGGGCGCTGGAGGACGCCCCGAACGACGCCGATGCTCATGCGATCTACGCCCTTTTCCTTTGGCAGACGGATGAATGAACGACGATGTGTACATAGTTTTTGAATGAGTACGATTCTTGTCTAAAGTGTAGCATAAGTCAGAGCGAATCTATCTCGATCGATCTTGTGATCGACCTACTCTCACCGGCTAACCGCCGGTTGTACATTATACATGAAGTCCATATATTCTGCAGCCATCTAAATGGCCTTCCATAGACTTGACGAAAGAGTTTCTGCATTCTCAGCTCTCTTAATCATGAATGAGTTCTTCTCTGTGGTTCTCGTCACTATGACAATGTGCATGCTTCCACATATTCTTCGCTGTTTTACGTCTGCCGAGTGCTCGCGCTGATGAAACCGAGTCTTTACGGTCGTGACCTCTCCCAGGCCCAGCCAGTTTTTGTGGCTGTACGGTTTGTCGGTCCTCCTGACCATTCTCGTCGTCAGTAGAAATTTGGTGAAAGTTACTTCCGGTGTCGAGCGAGGTCGTGTTGCGTCCTGGTTGTGTCACATCATTCGTCGAGCGTGATTCTTCGCGAGTCATGCTTTCTGAAGTCCCACTATGCATTGAGAACAAGTCGGCCCCCAGTTCTGCAGGCATGCACAGCGCGCAGCATGCGTCCGTCGTCTGAACCGTACTTCCTTCCAGCTCACGGGTGTGGTTGGTTCGCGTGACTGACCGACCGGGGGGTGAGTATTGTTGCACCGACTGTACTGCCCTCTGCCAGCCACGGGAAGGGAGTATGCTGTCACTTCAGAGTGAATTTCTACGTGGCGAAAGATCGTATCGGCAGCTGGTCGAGCGATCTGATTTGCGAAGTATCATGAAGGTTGGGTTGGGCCGGACTGCATCTACGGACTCGGCCTTCACGTCCTTCCGAAGACCTTTTACTTGTCAACAACCTCGTCAGGACATCGTGCTCATGCCGATCTTGCTCGAACGAGCAACATGCTGATGAGAGGGCCGCTCTGGTCGACGAGTAGGAGGCAAGTGGGTTGCGAGTGCATGCTGGGTGAGGGTGAAAGTCCCATGAGCTGAACATGCTGTGAAGGCAAGCATCTGAAAGCCTTGCCTTCAGCAGCGAGGTGTCGGCACGGACATACCGTTCGGTGGACTCGACAGCTGCGCTCGACGGGATTGCCGAAGGTCTACGCGGCGTCTCATCCCGCGGACCTCGTCGACTGCGACGAGAATCTCTAGGGAGTGGATCCAGTCTGAGACAACTTCATGCTCAGAGCCTGGTGAGTATACGCTCGAGGTGGGCAGTCAACGAAGTATGGACATCATTCTAACAACGCTTCCCTGTGTTTACAAATTTCCGCTTCATGCATCGAATATTGCACGAAAAAGGTTTTGCGCTTCGCGAGAGATTGCGGACTTTTCCACCAACCCCGGCTGCTGTCATTCCATCATAGGATCTGTCCTTGACTGTTACCTCGACGGGAGCTTCTAGGCAGGGAAGCCTCGTGCGTGACACTTTACTTTAATCTCGTAAGTTGATGATGGCTAACAACTCCTGCCTGTTCGTCTCTTTCTGTGACTGCCATGGGACGGCGTGATGCAAACACCGAGGCAACGATCATAGAGAAAGGACCTCAGGGGAATCGCTGACGAATGTTCTGCACCTTGAAGCATGTACATCCAGCGGTGCTCAGAGAATGAGTTTTCGGCAACTGCACATGATAGAAGGTGAAATCTTTCGAACCCTTTGATTATTAACATTTTCTTTATTGTTGGGAGCCATGTACTCTTGAAGAGGGAGCATCTCCATCAAGTGCTACTTTTGATAATATGCTTTGGAATTAGTGATAAAGGCTGGTACGTTTAGGGATGGACAAAGGGGAGATATGAGTCTGATTTCGTATTTTATTTCTCGTTGCAAGAGCTTCGACTTCATCATGTTCTCGGAACGAGTATCCGAACCAACAAGTTGACCTCGTTTCTGAAACTCCGAGCTGACAAACATGTCTGATGCTCTGCTTTGCCTCGCAGATTTTTTAATCCTGGAATTGTCGACGGTCACGTGAAAATCCCGTCCGCGACTGAGCGAAAGTGTGGCAAGCAGTGGGCAGCTTTTGGTGGTCGCTCGCGCGGAGAATCGGATGGAAGTGTGCGGTAAGAACTTGATGGCTAAGTCGAAGCTCACCTACTCTGCCTCCTGCCTGCTGCAAGCTGATTCCGGGCTCGGTCATGGCAGAAAAAGGTACGAGTGAGCGTCGGCCCCATGGTCGAGAGCACTCGAACCACCACCCTCGAGCGCTGCCCAGGACGAGCACAACCTCGCAAGCCCACGGTCGTCGGCGTCGTCTCGTATGACGAGTAGAAGCTTGGCACATGCTGCCGGAACTGGCCCGTCACTGGTCGAGGTATGCCCTTGAACAGACGAAAAAGCAACTGCGCTTGAGATTTCTGTCTGATTTCTTTACTTTTCCGCACTGTACCGTTTATAGCGTGACACCGGGCACGGTAGATATTCGAAATATTAAACACCATCCCTGCTCCATGATCCAGCGACCCAATGTCGATGGACGAGATGCAACCACTCTGTGACATGTGCAGACGTCAGTGATTTCAGGAACGGACGGGGATGTAACATTCTTTTTCAACAGTCCCATGTAGCCTCTACTTCTCTAGATTGTGGTGAAATCAACTGCTCCAATGTTGATCTCCTCCTCCTTTTTCCTACTTGACAGTCCCTTGTGCCCAGTCCACCTTTAGTAGATATCGTATCTGAGCTTTGGACCCCAGATTACGTAGTGCTATCTTTGGAGCGCATGGCGCCGTTCGATCACAGTGGAACCTGAGATCGACAATCATCGGTGATGATGAGCTTCATCGGTCCAAACAAACGAGGCTGCCTGCATATTGCCTTCTACATGTTCCTAGCTTTCTTCTGCTCCGCTTTGCACCGACAGGTCGGAGTCGATCACAACCCACGGTTGCGATCGACGGCGAAGATTTACATCGACGACCACTGCTTGCCGCGCTAGGCAGAAAGTGTTGTCGATGCTGTCTCGAATCTCAGTGGAGGTCCGAGCGATTGATGCAAAGGTAATTGATCGTTACCCTTTTCTCGCAACTAGCAAAATGTTCGTCTGTGTATCCAGCAGACTTTCACCTGCCCTGTTCCCCAGGGTCCGCTTGTGTTCGCTTCTCTGAACATTACTTCTGCGAACTTCGTTTACTTGTTGGGCAACGTGTGACTCTGAATCATCGTTGAAGCAAACGAGGAACAACGAGGGGAGAAAGAGGTTAGTTTGAGAACTTCTATCCATTGGAGTCAATAATAACTAACTAACAATGAATTTGGGAGAGCAATCATATGAACATGCATTAATTGTTGTACAAGGTAAAATGAAGTGATAGGGAACATTCATAATAGACTATAGTTAGTTTGATATGTATCATCTTTGGTATAGAAATTATCATTGTTATAGTTGAATACAGATGTTTGTTTTTTATTTATTGATTTAATATTTATGTTATCTTTTTACTTTCATCTTTTACACAGGTAATAATCAATATTATGTTTATTTTATATAGATAGAATATAGTGAATAGATAAATAATAAAAATATATCAACAATACATATCCATATCATGTTGAAATATTTTTATTCAGATTCTTAAATAAAATTTATTTTAAAATTGAAATATCATAAAATATCTCTATATGTTAATATATTTAACTTCTTTCTTTCTTTATAGATTCTGACAATGAATATATTCAAAGTCATGTTTATATAAATCAAGTTACGAAATATTGACATTTATAAAATAAAAAAACCATCTAAATATATAACCAGGATATTGTCATAAACATAAATGCAAATATTTTTCATTATGAATATTTTAGTTTTTCATGTGAAATGATTCGTTATAATTGATTACACGTAAAGTATACATTCAACGATTGGAAAATATAAATTCATCAAAGAAATATTTTGAATTAAAATTTTTATATAAAATTAAATTTTGAAATTTATCTTAAAGTAATAATAATTTTCGTTCACGTGGAATAATATCTTTCAATAAGCAATAATAATAGTGGATTTTTTTCATCTAAATTTTTTTTTTATCATAACATAATCATTTTAATTGAGAATGTAAATTTAAATTTCATGATTAAAATTATTCTAAAAAAATTTAAAGAATATAAAATGTTATATTTTACCAATATATCAACTAAATTAATTGAATTATTTTTTAATTTTTGAATTTTTAATTAAATACCTTTGATACTCAATTATTTGATTCTTATTTATTACATATTGTTCAAAAGAAGATAATATTATTAATTATTTTAATTATTGATATTGAAAAAAAATAACATTTTATATATATTAATTTTTTAGTATGAAGTTAAATATTAAATATTAAGGGACGTTAAAAAAATTTGATTTAAAAATATTAATTAAATTTAAATTTCTTGTGAATTCTATATAACATAATAATTTTTATAAGTGGAATCATAAAATTAGAATAGTTTTTTTCTACAATTTAATTTTCTCAAGAATTTTCTCGTAAGAAAATTTTACATTTGAGTGTAATTAATATATATTATTTAGTCTTTTTTTTTATTTTAGTATTGTAGTTAATTTTTATGTGGATATGAGAAAATAAAAAAAATAGATGATATTATATAGAAAATTAATAAGAAATTCGAAAATTGTAAAAAAATTATTATATTTGAAGAAAATCTAACGTTATTTTATTATGATATTATACTGAAACCCTACATGTCTAAAAAATAAAAAATTAGTTTAATACTGTAAATTGTACACTTTTATTTTGTGAAAGACATTTTATGATAATGAAAAAATTTATGATACATCAATATAAAATTTTATGTTAATATTAAGATAATTTTCTTGGCTATAATAAACAATTAATTTATAAGATATAATCATTTCATGATATTTATTATAACAAATTCTTAGTCTATCATAGATTATGTTTGAAAATTACATTTAATCAAATTGTTAATCTGAGATAATTGCACTTAATTCTAGTGAAATCAAAAATTATAAAACAAATATTAATTTGTAAATTCATTTCACAATAATAATAATAATAATAACTTCTATAAGCAAAACTTAGATGAAAAGTTTCACTAAATTTTTTTTGCTTCATGATGATATGTTGATTGTATATAATCACCATGTGCATGAAAAATGGTAAAATCATGATGGTAATTGTATTGATGAAATCAACA